TCTCTCTCTCTCTCTCTCTCTCTCTCATTAACAATGATTGTTGTAATTATGATCACAAATGTATTAACTATGTGTGTTTTGGTGTTACAAAATATATCCGTTCAGTGAAAATGTGTGACAAAAATGTATTTTCACATTTACATATATTATGTTATCTTTGTAATTAAATATGTGTTTAATGAATACGAGAAATGAAGACAAAAAGCCTTTTGATTCAAATTTGTTTTATGATAAAAAATGAAAAATATCTCATTCCCTTTTGTTATATCTCTGAATAAATTTACATCAAATTTACGGTCGATTTGCGCTATTTTTAGGAGAGCTATGAAATCCAATGCAAAAAATGTATTCTCATTTTTCTTACTATTCTCTCCTATTTCTTGTCATTAGGTTTGAGATATGAAATACAAAACTATATACATATACAGTAGATTAGATTTAATAGATTTGTCAACTTCTATAATTAATTGCTATTTGTTACCAGAAAACTTTTAATGAACTATTGAATCGCAAATTCTGTGAATGATTTCCACATTTGTTGAGTGGAATAGTGAGTGAAAAAAACAGAATAAATTTCCCAAATAATTATCTCAAATGAATGCTTCAATTACTGATATAAAAGTGTTTTTCAATTCGCATACAAAAAACCTTAAGGCTTTGTGTCTCCGCTATTGGCAACGCATTTGAAAAGCATTTGTTTTAATGCCAAAAAGAGGTTAATTTATCAGATTCACGACATTTTGTCATTTTTTGCTTCTTATTTTCAACTTATTATTATCAATAAAAAATATTTCTATCAGTTTTGCAGTCATTTCGAGAAATGAGTTCTCAAAACGAGTGAACCATTGGTTTCGGTTTATATATAACTTTTATTTTTATAATTTCAAAAGTATTATCAAAAAGCATAATAAATAAACTAAATATAATGACATACTTATGTGTTATCATGAGGTTCTTGGGGTTTGAATTCAAACTTGTAAGCCCTGTCCGATTTGATCATAAATACACAGCCAAACAGTACGCTAATGATGAGTGAGAAGACAAACATCCCGGTCACCCACTGGTCCAACACTGAGTTCTCCTTGGATTTGATCACCGTTTTAGTCATCCAAAGGGCGCACGTTATAATCCAGGTCAATGGTATCACAAATAGGCTTATTTTGAACAGCAATTCACTCCACGACGTGATCTGGAAGTCTTCGCTCACGTTCACGACTACCGGCGCCGACGGGTGATTGAGATTGTAGTTGATCTCAATATTCCTGGCCGTCTCGTTGGGGTCCTCATCATAGATCACACAGAAGTCATCCATTGTTTTGATTGATTACACCTTTTTTGAGCACAAAATGATAGGAATTAGAGAATATTTATTAAATACACAGAATTCAAGTAATAATAATAACAATAGAGTTGTCATAATAATAGTAATAATAAGAATATTAACATTTGAAAGGTGTGTCCAAACGGGCGCTAAATATAGCACTTATGTAGTGGTTTAGTGTATGTTCTTAGAGTTAATGAGAGAAATAATTTTCTGAACATCCGATTGATTCAGCCGTACGTATCGATCCAATACATTGGGATCTATTCATCACTTGTGTTGTATTCATCAGATGTTGGGATCCAATGCCCGCATGAGTACAGTGTGTATGTGTTGTCTCTCTCTCTCTCTCTCTCTCTCGCAAAGTATGCGTTCATTCATTCATTCATAGGGTTGTTGTGGAGGCGAATGGCATTCAATTTGTTGGCGACTTCTCGCGTTGTCTTTCTTTAAATTGATTATTGATCGACACGACTGAGCCCTACAGGAGCACCACCACTGTGTATATGCCTATCCTCTCTGTGCCTATTTCTATGACTTATTTCATAGAAAATTCTATGAAATCTCAAAAGGCATCCAATTTTCATGAGATTTATATTAAGAATCCCTTTTTGAAAGTTGTTTAAAGAATTTAATTATAAATGAATTTAATATATTTGAACTCAAATTCCTGTTATTGTTATGTAAATAAATAATGTAAGGGAATAAGTGTAGAAGGTATGCTTTTTTGTAAATAAAACTTGTTTGAATGACTATTATTTAGAATTTTATATTATTTTTATTTTAATAGTTAAAATTAAATGAATATTTATAGTATTTTATTAATATTTAATAAGTTTAAATAAATATTAATAACTAGAATAATTCTGATATTGGAATCATGTACACATTTTACAATAACAGTTTAAAAATTAAACCAATATTTTATATATTGGGTGTAATTTTATATTTGTTGGAAAGTATCAGTAAAGTTAATTTAAAAATACAAGTTATTTGTTTATATTAACGGAAGACACCTCAAAATGTTCACAAGGGATGATCAATTTATTGCTATTATAAAGATATGAATAAATTAAATACCCTGCTCATAATCCTTGTTCAAAGTTAGAAATCATTTAAGGGTTTCTCTGTATTGCATGTCATAGGAATTCATACATTTTCACTGAAGTCTGAAAATGTAATTTCTGACTTTGTATAAGAATTATGAGCAGGGTATTTAAGTTATTCATATTCTGTTACCGTTAATATATTCAAATGATTAGTATTTTTAAATTAACTTTAGTCTCCAACTAATATAAAAATACACCTTACCCTGTAGGACCTACAGTATAGTTTAATAGCCTTTTTAAAGTTTAATGAACTAAACATTAATGAATTAAAATTTAGTTTTACTAAACCAAGCACATTTCTAACACAGAATTTATAGACTAAACGTGTGGTATATGTTTTTAGGTTAGTTGTATTAATTTTATTCAAATATTTTATTTATTGCGAATCACTAAATAATTACAAATCAAAATGATGATAACAATTTTAAGTTTTATAATATTAATCGGTAGTGTATTGTCTGAAAATGAAACCGATGTCTCATCAGAGTCCCCAAAAACTGATGACAAGCTCTTCGTGGGTCAGCCCGATGGAGACGACACGAAAATTTTGGGCCAAAAGCGAGGGAAAGCCAATTTCACGGACTTCCAGGCGTTGGCAGACTTATTTACACCACACAAACCAAAGCCTGATAATCTACTACTGGGGCCACTACCCAACCCAATTACAGACACAGTGGCCGATCCCGTCTCAATACCCGTACCAACTCTCGAACTAAACCCGATTTCCATCCCTGTGTCTAATCTAACAAATCCAGTGATCAACCAAATCAAAGATCTTCCTAAAGTAGATGCGGAACACCTGCTTAGGACGGCATATAAAGGCTGTATTAGTCTCATTGAAGGGGTTGTTATTATGTTTACATCACTTTTTCAAGACGGAGGGCTACTCGCAGCCAACGGCCTCTTATCACTGTTGTTGTACCCGTTAGGACCCGGAGGACCGGTAGGTCAGAACGGTATTGTCTCGCAGTTGTTGTTCTGGATCTT